CTTCTTATATTTTTAATTCTTGTTCTTTTCTAAATACTGTTAAGTGAAAGGATTTGTTGTGTAGTGAGGGGAACTAAAATAGCCTAGCTATGTTTACAGTGTTTATTCTAATGTTTGTAAACATTTCACGTCGGCATTAGGCCTATTTCTGAACGAAACAATAAAATGCGATTTATACGCGATTTAAGTTTTTTTCCCCCTAAAATTTTTTTTTTATATAAGCGTAGCGTATTTTAACCATGCAGCAAACCTTTTTAAATAAGAAGCATATATTCTTATGCACACATGCAAATGTTGCAGCTGTTGTTTCTATGAAATTGTGTTGTCTTTGATATTCTGTTACTAATAAAATAGTTTTTTCTTTGCTTATTGTGCCTATTTTGGCACAATCCCTAAATTGAACTTGAGTAGTTTTACTAAGGGCACCCATCTCACATGAAATTGAACTATGTCAAACATATTCTACCTGCCTTCCTGATATAAATTACTATGAATTTGATATGGTAATTATTAATACTGAGACAGTAAAGTGGGCAAAGAGCATTAATGACTTGTTTAAGACTTGAATCTTAAAGTTGAGGACTTGCAACTCGACTTGGACTTGTCTGTCTTGACTCGAGACTTGAATGCAAAAACTCGAGACTTACTTGTGACTTGCAAAACAATGACTTAGTCCCAACCTCTGATTATAAGTGTACCGTGAAATCATGATGTACTCGCTCATTATATACATTTAGCAAATTTTGAACACAGAAAAAGTTACATAGTGCTGCTTTAATAAATAAAAATAAAAATAGTGATTTATATTGTAAGCCCTGCTGGAAACAGGTAAATGTAATGCAAATTAGGTGTTTATTTATTTTTATTTAAATTATTATTATTTTTTTTTTTATTGTATCTAATAATTTATTTGGAATGCTCAGTTGTTGATTTACATTATAAAAAATGCTTCTTTTTTTTTATAATGCATCCAAATATACATACTTCACTTGAATGGCAGTAACATTAGGTAGTTGTAGTATGCCTGGATTTCATTCATACTATAACGAACACACTTTTTTTAAAAAGTCGTAAAGTAGGCCTATGTTTCAAATCAAATGTAGTGCCAACTTGGACAGTTTGTGATTTCAGCTACGTTTAGCTTTTAAACAATCCATACACGCAGGTCCTTTTTTGATTGGATGAAACGATCATGTATGACCATTTTTAGATTCAGCCGATACATTCACTTACAGTAATTATTCAGATATATTCTTAACACCCCAGTGATCTTGACACCATGAGCACAGCTCTAATAAAAGGTGTTGCTTGTGCTGCTGGGTGAGAATCATGGGAGTTGATGTGTCAGAGGCCGCAGTGTAGCTTTATATTTCTATTGCTGTGAAAGTGCAGCTGGGTTTGTGTGCTTCGGGGGAAGTGGTTACTGTGCTTTCACAGAACCTCGTCCCACCTGCTTGCCCCACATCTTGTTGCAGAAGAGAACTGATGACATTGTGTGTGTCTTCTTTCTCCTTTTTCTCGTCTTTCTTCTCTCTTTCTCTACTGCATCTACCCAAACCCTGTTTGACGTCAGGAGATGATGTCATACCGCCGGAAGCTCCGCCTCTTCCTCTTCAACGGTTTCTTCGGTCTGTTGGCTGCTTACTTCTACAAGCGGCACAATGCATACTGTGAAGCAGGAAGTGAGTGCAACATCTTCGCCGTTCTCGGTCATTCACCCCACCCATGTTCCACTCGACACTTGTTCCATTTTGGTGATTTTACATGCTTAACATGAACTCGCAAATTCACTTTAGTATAGGGACCGGTTCTCACTATTAACTAGTTACTTATTAGCAATCCTATTATTAGCATGTTGGCTGTTTATTAGCGCTTATAAAGCACATATTCTGCATGGCCATATTCTACATCCCTAATCCTACCCAAAACCTAAATTTAACAACTACCTTACTAACCGTTGATAAACAGTAATTGGGAGTTAATGGTGAGAACTGGAATTTAAAATAAAGTTTGACAAAAAATTAATTATAACTAATTATCTGTGTTTGAAGTTCTTAAAGGGATAGTTCACCCCCCAAAATTGTGATTAGTTCATAAAATTAATGTTGTTCCAAACCAGTATGCTGTTAAGTTTGGGTTCAGTATGTTTTTAAAGAAAAGTCTCCTATTCACGAACAGCTTGTTACTCTCCAAAGAGAAAGGAAAACTTGAAATCGCATCATATGATCCCTTTAACAGAGGCTACATTTATTTGATCAAAAATACAGTAAAAACACTAATAGTGTGAAATAGTATTACGATTTAAATTAACTGTTTTATATATTTGAATTTATTTTAAAATGTAATTTATTTCTGTGATGCAAAGCTACATTTTTCTGTATCATTACTCCAGTTTTCATTGTCACATGATTCTTCAGAAATTATTCTAATATACCGATTTACTGCTCAAGAAACATTTCTTATTACAAATGTTGAAAACTGTCATGCTGCTTAATTGTTTTATGAAAAACCATGATCATTATTTGAAGTTTCTTTGATTCAAAAGAACAGCATTTATTTGAAGTTATTAATGAATTTTCTGTAAAAAAAATCCTTGCTGAATAAAAGTATTAATTTCTTTAAAAAATAAAACTGACCCCAAATCTCAAATTTAATATCCATTTTTCATATTGTACCCAAAAATGAAAAATTGCTGACAATGTACTCACACTCCGGCCATCCAAGATGTAGATGAGTTGGTTTCTTCATCAGAATAAATTTGGTGAAATTTAGCATTATATCACTTGCTCACCAATGGATCCTCTGAATTGAATGGGTGCCGTCAGAATGAGAGTCCAAACAGCTGATAAAAACCAGAGGGTGAATGCCAGAGATGGCCAGAGGGTGAATTTTCATATTTGGGCAAATTATTTATTTAATTTAAATAATAATGTATTTTGCCATTTAAATGGCATTGATTTACCGCACTTCAGTAATTTTTGTCTCTCTATGGCAGTTTACACATTCTTTGCTTTTTGTGAGTATCTGGTGGTGCTGTCCAACATGGCCTTCCACATGACTGCCTACTGGGACTTTGGAGGTAAGGAGGTGATGGTTGTAACACCTCCAGAGGGAAAGCGCTTCTGACACAGGAAGTCAATACTTGCATCATCTCCTTGAAACTTGAGACTCTTGAGGGCTCTGAGGGCGGCACTCATGCTGATTTAGGGTCGACACTGATTGAGCAAAGACTGTTCACATCTTCACATATGGTGTTTTTAACTCAGTTACTTCAAAAATTCAATACAGATGTTTAAACGATCATTGTCAGTGGTGTGCTACATTTTGAACGATTACATTGTTTATTCAGGTGTAATTGGAACGGCTGATTCATTACTTCAAATAAATGTATTTGACTTGTCTGTCTCTTTCTAATTGGTTTGTCAGGGTCATGCTTTGGTTTCACTCGAAATGATGTGAAGTTTAAAATATTTGCTTATTATTTGTTAAATATTTGCAAGTGTAAAAGTAATTGAACTCTTGAGGAGTGATGATGGACTTTGACGTCGTGTCAGTTGGTTTGCAGCTGCTGTTTCACAAGTGCAGCATTGAGCTCATACACACTGACTGCTCACGCTACTGAAAGACATTTAGTTCAGTCACACCTTTGTAAACGCTAATGTAAATCATGTGAAAAGTCATTTTAAACTGACTTTTACACAGCGTTTCTTGTGTGCCTTTAGTGGCTAGAGAGCACTGTAAAGTTTGTACATATTTCTGTGGTCAAATGTAGAGCGGTTATTGATCGTGAACAACATGGGCCCTAGGATGCATTTCAAATATGATGTTGCCATTGGTTGAATGAGAAAACTGGCTCAGTCTTTTCATAGATCAACATGATGTTGTGAACATGATTGCATATAATAATGCTTTTTATGCTGTACCAAAATACTTGGTACAAAATAATCGGTGTCAAATCAATATTTGGATGAAAAGTAAGTGGATCATTTCTGAGATTAGCACATGCATATTTACTGGATATATTGGTACCCTGTTCATTAATGGCTGATGTTAGAGATTTTTTTATTGATTGGTATTGGAATTATTATTTTTTAAGGTTTATTTTAAGGTGTCCTTAAGTGTAATAATACAATTAAGTACTAAATAATATGTATTACTATAGGGATAGGGTTTGATTTGGTTTAAGGTAAGTTGCTTGTAATTATGCATAATTTACTGTTATTACTAAAGTAAGTAAAAGTAACATGTACACTGTAAAATAGTGTTGCCTTAGTTTTGTGTGTGGGTGTGGGTGTGGGTGTGGGTGTGTGTGTGTGTGTGGGAGGGAGGGACCAGATATCAGGTTCACGCTGTTTTGACTCTATATGTTCAGTGTTGTGTCATTATCACAGTCAGATAGGGAAATACACTATACCTGCTTCCTCTTTTAATCTGTAAATCAATATGACTGGATGTTTTGAAATAAAAGATTTTACTAAAATTGTATCTAGTAGTACTATGGACTTATTCTTTGATGTTTCAAGACATACTACCATTCAAAAGTTTTTCTTTAAAGAAATTCATACTTTTATCGAGCAAGGATGCATTGAATTTATCAAAATTGACATTAAAGACATGTATAATACAAAACATTTCTGTTTAGTAAAGAATCCTGGGGGGAAAAAACGTAATTTCCACAAAAATATTAAAGGTGCAGTAGGAGATCTTGGAAAATGCTAACTTTAGCCTGATAGCACTGAAAGCGAACGTCCCACCCTCCCTGCAATCGCCGTCCAAAGCCATGCCCCCTGAACACATTTACGCTCACAGACCAGAATACCAGAGACAACATTACTACAATAGGCTACTTCAGCGGTTCCCAATTCCAGCCCATGTTCAGAAGTGAAATAAACCTCAACTGATTTCCCCCGCTCAGGGAGTAGGGAGCAATGAACACTGTGTAGGGATCATATTGATCGGAACACAGTTCATGCACGTAGCTCACTTCTAACGAGCTGGCGCAAGGACTGGATTAACCGCTGGGCTACATGTCATTTTAAAGTGAGAAAACTTTAAAAATACTACAATACCAGGAAGGAAGATCGGGTTGTTGATGTTTGTCTGCCATTCTCGCTCTGTCTGCACAGAGTGCATGAATGCGCTGATGACGTATCCTGTCTGCGCGAACAGGGTGCGCAGAGGCATGCAGATACATATGTTGACAGGCAGGTAGGAAAGCATATTAAAACGCTCGGACCTAGTGTTTTGATTGGACGAACATTTCTTGATCCTACGCCTTACACAGAATATATAAATACAGACAAATACATTTAGACCACTTAACTTAATGATTGCTATCGGGATATGAAGAGACTTTCAACCAGCATAACAAAAAATGTTTCTGAAGACAATTACCTATTGCATCTTTAAGCAGCATAACTGTTTTCAGCTGTGATAATAATAATAAATGTTTCTTGAGCACCAAATCAGCATATTAGAATGCTTTCTGAAGGATCATGTGACACTGAAGACTGGAGTAATGATGCTGAAAATTCAGCTTTGCCAATACAAGAATAAACTGCATTTTATTCGAATAGAAAACAGTTATTTAAAATCATAATAATATTTCACAATATTACTGTTTTTACTGTATTTTTAATCAAATAAATGCAGCCTTGGTGAGCATAAGAGACTTCTTTAAAACATAAGAAAATCTTACTGATCCTGAACTTTTGAATGGTAGTGTAGGAAGACAACAAATCTGCTGGAAACTTTCTTACAAATTATGTGATAAAACAGTTGTGATAAAATTACAAACATAACATTGATAGAAATGACTACAATTCAGAACTGTCGTAGGATGTTAAAATAAAGCAGTTTGAATTTTATTAGGATACATTTTTTTGATCAAAATGCAAAACAAAAAAATGTAATTAATTTGTATAAATTACAAATTGATAAATGTCTTATATAAAATTGGCTTGGGGAAATGACCTCCGAATGTTTAAAGGGTGTCACAAGGTGTCTCTTTTGTTAGTGAGGCAAAAATGCATACAAGACAAATTAAAAATAAAATAAATAAAATGCATCCTGTTCCGTGAGACTGACTGCTACAGTCAATCCACACAACTCTCAGCTGAATTATTCAATGCTTGAAAAGTATTGCTTTCACATGACTTTGGGATTTCTCATACATTTATGGCCAAAAGCACACATACAGACTGAGCAACACATTATGACTTAAAATTCATCATATGATTCATGCACAATGAAGTGTTTCTGTTTGCTGTGAATGTATTGTCCTTAATGAGCCACAATATGATCTTCTTGACTTTCAGCTAACATTTGATCTAATGCTAATAGGCTAAACATTACAGAAAAAAAATTATAGTTAAAATACCAATGATGAAAATATACTTTTGCCCTTTGAAATTTGACATACAACAATCTGTCTGCTTACATATATAATAAACTGTATATAGAAAGGCACTGTAAAGTCATACATTCATCTAAACAAGCAAAGAAGGTAAAATGGTGATCATTTAAAGCTTGTTGATAAATCCCTGAGCTTTGAAATCTACAAGCTGAACTCGATCTTTAGCCAGTTGAAAGCTTCCTTCCTTTTCGTTAATGGCTCATTTAGGATTGTGCTAATTAAATCGACACAAGCTGCTCCCAAATCAGTCATCAAGTGAAGAAAGTGCCTTCTTTTCTAAAAAGGTTCTGAAGCCCCACCCTGGAGTGCTGAGGAAGAAAAGAATGAAGAGTTGAAGGCGCAGTGCATGCTGGGACCTCTGTTTCCTGAAGGGACTGCCAGCCATTTTCCCCACTACAAGGAAGTAAAGCCGACAAGCTGCCAGGCAACAACACCCTCATTACTCATATAAGACCAGGTATGTCTTCACACAGAACGCATTTTTGCGTTTCACTGCACTGCTTTTGAATAAAGTATGACTGGTGTTCTGGAAGTAAAAATCCCATTCATTTTCTGAATAAGAGATCAACTTTAAACGATAACTTAGAAACCTTTAAAGACAAACCTGCTGTGAGCTATGAGGTTGTTAATCGTTGGTGTATGCTTCTGTTTAAACCATCAGCCCATATAACTTTTTTTTTTTAAATCATGTTCAAAAACAGAATTCCTTGTAAAAAAAAAAAACTACATTACCCATGATTCTGCACAAAATATCCACCAATCGGAGAATTACGACAAGCAAATGAGGGACCACCCACTCCCATAAAGCATGCTCTCAAACAGTTGAGTTTAATTACGCATTAAACATAAAATATGTTGTTTCTCCATACACATACAATCAATATATTTTACTTTCTCTTGTTTTCAGTTTGATTGTCATATACAATGCTTCATGGGATTGTAGTTCTTTCCCTCATTAAAGCAGTTAAATACACATTCTTGTATCTTTGTCTGTTTTCGATTTTCAAATACTTTTTTTTTGTTGCTTCAAATCAAAATTTGTAATGTTGTGATTTACCTCATAGCTGGTTGCTTTAGTTCATGGCTTAAAACTCTGGCTTCTGAAAAAGTAAGCAGGCACAGTTGCGCTATATTTTTTCTGTTGGTATAAATTTTCGCACACAAGCACTGTGTTTTAAAGATGCTGTGTCAAAGTGCATGCAGCTTGTTAGAGTCTCAAAACCCTGCTTTGTTTCCTTTACATTCAGCTGTGTCTTGAACGTAAGAATGCTTTCTGTGTGACCGACTACGATATTTATAGGTAGTTGTTAATTACACTACAGGCCTGTCCTCAAGGACACTCCAATCACAGAACAAATGCCTTGGGCATAAAAAGCTTTATTATATTAGTACTATTCAATTCTCAGATAGTTTTTTTTTTTTTTGGAAAAAATGAAGACAAAAAGAAAAAGAACTTCATTAACCAATAGTATTAATAAGTCTCCAAACACTAAAAAGGAACTAGAACCCCTTTCCTCTGAGATGTGTTTAAGGGTTACTTCCTCTATATTCTTTTATGTATTTCTAAGATACCAGAAGATGGTATCAAACTGTTTAGTGGTCTCTCCCCTTAAAATTATATAAAGAAAAATATGTAGGGATCTCAGTACAGTGTAAAAACCTAATATTTTACTTAATCTTGTGTTTCTCTAATTTCACAGATTAAGGCTGTGTTTCTTGGTCACTGAAGAACTATTATTCCAATCATTCCATAAGATTCCCACCATTTCTGCGTGTAATTCAATTAAAATACCTCTATCCTCTCTGTATTTTCAGAGGAGTATACAGGGCTTCTTTGGAGCCATAGGTTGAGGACTGAGGAAGGCACGCACTGCGTCTGCAAACACGTCCTTGATGCCGTCCTGGCTGAGTGCCGAGCACTCCAGGTACTTGACGGCGTGGATTTGGCGAGCCAGAGCCTGGCCCTGCTGGTGCGTGATGGGCGCCTGGTTCTGCTCCTTTAGCTTCTTCAGCACATCTGCGTCGTTGCGAAGATCGCTCTTGGTCCCCACCAGCAGGATGGGCACGCTGGGACAGTGGTGCGTCACCTCTGGGTGCCACTTGTGCTTGACGTTCTCATAGGACGGGGGGCTGGAGATGGAGAAGCAGATGATGAAGACGTTGGTCTGAGGGTAAGACAGCGTGCGAAGACGGTCGTACTCCTCCTGGCCTGCCGTGTCCCACAGATTAAGGCTGATGGTGCGGCCGTCCACGGTGACTTGGGAGCTGTAGTTGTCGAACACGGTGGGAATGTACTCTTTGGGGAATGCGCCAGTCGTGTACGAGATGAGCAGGCAGGTTTTTCCCACTGCTCCGTCCCCCACCACCACACACTTGATGCTCTGCATGATAGAAAGGTGACCACTCGACTTCAGCAGTCTGCAGAGAAAGAGACACCACTCTATGTTAGAGGACAACATGACAAAACAGTGCTTAGATGAATAAAAGAATAGGTAAATACACAATGTATCAACACCATATCGGTTATCGAGCTGATATTAGATATTATAATTATAAATGATATTATATTAACATTTATTCATATTGGCCGATATTGGGTGTTCAATTTTAAAATGAATCTTCAAAAACACAAATAACGTTAATTCTGTCGTGTCAACTCTCGGAGGGATTGACATGGTAATGTACATGACTATGTTAATGTATTTGGTCTTGGCGGAATAGATCTGCTACGCTGCTGCTGCTGCTGCGGCAGAGCAAGTACAGAGACTTGCTACTACCAATATATCCACAACATGCTGCTGTGAGCATGTAAGAAATATTGCTGCTGCAAATATAACATACACGAAATAACCTCATATAGCATACATGAATCACCTCGTAGCAGATCTATACAGGTGGAGCTGGGGAAGGTGAAGGGTTTCTGAAGCAATATGCAACTGCTACGGCAAGCACTAGTCATATATTTTAATGTTGAGCAGCGAGCTCATTGGCTACTGATACAGGAGAGAACCAATCAGCTGTGCCATGTGATAATGCTGTCATTAGGTCAGATTGTGTTAGATCTATCGGACTGCGCCATCTAGAGTTTCGTGCCAGAACTCTTCAGCGAAACTCTTAACTTAATATTACCATACAATACTATATAATACAATTCAAATGTCTTGCACAAAAATTTGGTCCAAAAAAAGGAAGTCAAACAGTATGTTTTTAAACAGCCATTAAGACTTTTGTATTTGATCAATACAAAAGTCAAATAACACCAAATACAGAGAAACGAGAGCAGCTTACAGACAGTGTTAATGTAGTATAATTTATATTTGATTTGAATTTTTTATTTTTGTATTTTATTACAAAATGTATTTATTTATTTAACAATTTTATTTTAAAGTTTTAGTTATTATCTTGTGTGCTTTTGCCACATTTATCTATTAATTTATTTACATATATATGTTTGTTTATTCAAATTAAAGTCACATTTAATTTTTACACACATTAGTCTTGGTGTTAACAGTAGGGCTGTCAAATGATTAATCGCGATAAATAGTGATTAATTGCATCCAAAATTAAAGTTTAAGTTTACATCATATGTGTGTGTGTACTGTGTATATTTATTATGTATTTATTAGTGCTGTCAAATTATTAATCACATCCAAAATAAGTTTTTGTTTACATAATATATGTATGTGTACTGTGTTAATTTATTATGTATATAAATACACACACACACAGTATATATTTTGAAAATATTTACATGTATATACATTTATATATTTATAGTTTTTTATTTTATATTATATCTAAATATATTTAATATATAAACATAACATATTTTTCTTAAATATATACATGCATGTGTTTGTATTTATATAAACATAATAAATATACACAGTACACCCTCATATATTATGTTTTATTTTGGATGAGATTAATCGCGATTAATCGTTTGACAGCACTATATAAATATACACATAGGCATGTATATAGTCTTTTATTTGTAATTTATATAGGCAAAACACTATACTATAAATTTTAATATGAACTATCACAAAATGAAAAAAATATCTTTAAAAAATTGTTTAATTATAAAAATAATTATTAACATATAGGCTTCAGCCATAATTTAACTTAATATCAGTGCACACAGTGCACATACATATTTCAGAAGGTCAGGATGTACAGTATGAATGGATCGTTGGAAAGAAAGATTTACAAACATGCAAAGAGAAGGACAAAAGAAAAAGGTTAACAAGAACCTCTAGCTGTCTGTGTTCATGCAAATGTGTAGCATGTTGAGGTCATTTGGGCGTTTATAAAACAATGTTTTGAATATACAGTCAGCCTCCCCTATAGTTCCTTCTACTTCCCTTTGCAGTTTTATTGATAAACTGTGTATATATCATAACACAAATGAATTCCCACTTGTAAATTAGGGGATTATTCACCTCCTCAGAAATGCACAAAAACAAGAGCTTTTGTCCTCCATCTTTCTTTTCACTTTCCATTTGGGACATAGTCAATGGAAATATGACTAATGTGGGTCATAAAAATGACTCAAATTGCTCTCTGTAGGAAGCATGACACGCAGATTGAGATTTTCTAAAACATGTACGCTGGAAAATGTCAAAACACGTGTGATATGTTTCAGTTAATGCTGAAGACATTTAATGTCAGGGGACTGAACTGAATACACATCTGTAGATATTCAACATTTGTGAAAGTCTGTGCAAAGTCAACATGGGTAATTGCTGTTTTTGTGGAAAAGGAGCAGAAAAGTAGATTTACTGACCAGTTATTGTCTGTTAATAATTACAATTTTTGTTACATGATAGGCTGTTTCCCCAATAGTTTGATCATGATATCCAAGCCATCTTGCTTGTAGCACATGTGAGACCGATGTGTATTCTCACACAGCAACTGAGAGCTGTGGAGTTACGGCCGAAAAGCTCAGTTCTCTCTTTCTTTCTCACTTATTCCAACAGTCTGGCAGATGTTTGACTCCAGCAGAAAGGAGTGAGACGGACTCTGCCCAATCTCCAGAGACGCTCAGAGAGAGAAATACTCAGAGCCCTGGCCTCCTCTGCAAGGCGTTAGCCAATGTGGTTAGTTATTGAGTAATCAGTCTAAATAAGCTCTTTTTGCACTACAAATCATTATATCTGCACTGTTGTTTACTTCACTGGTTTGCACTCTATCTGCCGTGTGCTGCTTTATATATATATATATTTTTTTTTTTATATATTGTTTTACATTTGACCTTATTTGTATATTTGTATAGTTGTATTTTATATTTAATCTGTATATCTGTATTTATGTTCTACTGTTAGTGTTATCTGTATGCACCAAGGGTCTGAGAGTAACGCAATTTCAATTCTCTGTGTATGTGCTGTACATGTGGAAGAATTGACAATAAAGCAGACTTGACTTGACTTGAACCAAGAGCTCAAAGAAACAGCAGTGACAGCTCAGTCTGGGTGGAGTCTGTCCTGTCACTTACAACACAGCTTTGTCATATCACAATACCGATGGTTAGCAGCAGTACTGCTCAGTGTTATATAAAATGGAGAAAAACAAGTGCAATAGAATTCTATTGACTTTTTTTTTGTTTACAGCTTTACTGTGTGAAATTCATACTTGGGGTAGGGTTCAAGTCATGTTGATATGGCGACTTAATATAATATTTTAAGATTCAACCATCAGAAAACCTAATGATTGATGACTAATCTGAATATTGTCTGTAGTGTTTATGGCCCTGTTCAAATATAATTTTTAGGTTTATCACACTTTATCACTGAGCCGAATTACACAAATCATGTGTAAGCTAACAGAGGAACAGGCAGTCCTAAAGGCTACTAATTTTTAGCAGCAAAAGGAGAACTTACACTAGATTGCAAAGTATGCAGAAAGAAATCAAAACTAGAAGTGGTCAGTTACATTTATCCATTCTTACTGAATCTAGAATTTAGAATCTTTCATCATAAAACTGAAACTAAAGCGTTACTGTCCGAGAGATTGTAATTGCACACTATTTCCTCTGTATTTCCTCCACATAAGCAGGTGAAAATAAGAAAGAAAAAAAAAACAATTTATGACACAGCAAGTCACCATCTTTCCAGTGACTCACCGCAGAAAAGTGTGCCTCAGTGAGCCCCTTGTGTCATTCAAGATATTCAGCTGTTTTGTAACAGTATTTTCACATTAGGAAGTTACACTCTAAAAAATGCTGGGTTGTTTCAACCCAACTTTGGGTCAAATATGGACTAACCCAACTTTTGGGTTAAAAATGTAATGTAAAAATTTAACCCAACAGTTGTTTTAGTCCATATTTGACCCAAAGTTGGGTTGAAACAACCCAGCATTTTTTAGAGTGTAACAATAACGGCTCTGAGTGTGGATGAGTGTGGAAGATCCTCTCACAGATGGGCTATTATTTTGGCTAACTAGAATGACTGTGTTAGATTAGTCAAATATGCTAAAGCAAATAAGATTTCTCTAATGGAAGCTGCTATTTGGTTCGGAAATAGATAAATATCCCAACTTCTGCATGGCTCTGTTGGATTTTAAAATGAGGATGTTTCTCAGTTCCTCATTCCCTCTGGAAAACCCAACTGCCTTTTTTTCTTTCTCTCCAAATTTGCATAATTCCCATTCATTTTCTCAAAGGACCATTTTATGTTTCAACATGCACAACCAAATTTTCCCAGAAAGGTCTTCACACCAGGAGGATAGGTTTTGTGATAATATATAATCTACATTAAAAGATATCTTTGTTTATATCATATAATTTGTCACAGTAATTCGTCATTTGTACTCTGCTTTATGAGTTTCTCGTCAGTAGCCTACTTAAGTTCAAAGTGGTCAAAATTGTCATGAATTCATAGCTGGAGTTTGTACCTATGAATTGAATTTAGTTCAAAATCGAAGACAGCAAATTGGCATTTATTCGCATAGAACGATACTTGTCAATACTCTTAATTACAGTGCTTTAGTGCTCTGTGTTATTCTGTGGGAGTGGCCCCTATTCCTGCTTTCTGATTTAAAAACTCGAGCATAGTTTATTCATCAAGCCGCGGTCCAAAGCGAGAAGATTACAGCAAATTTAGCAAAATCTCACACGTTCCGAATTCTAAATCTGCCTCTGCGCAATTTCTCTTCAACAAACCAAGCCAGAAATGAATAAACGCATAAAATATGTTGTCTAACAAACTGTACTCTATATATCACAGGACTACATACGATTTTTAAACAAACATATCTTACCAAACATATCAGATGCTCTTGAGGACCGTAATCCCGCTGCTGTGGAAGTAATTGTTGAAGTCTGTTGGACGTGAGTGTGTTCACCCCTCAGAGAGGAAGTTAATGGCTTAACGGCATATTTGAGGAAGTTTACCGAAGTAAATGTGGCTATGACGATGTTTAAGAGGGCGTAACAGTCTGTCTACACTGCAAGCAAGCGCGCTCCCACTTTAACCGTGCGCTGTCAGCTCTGTTGATTGCAATAGCTTCGTTCTGGTTTTGTCGCGTCGTCTTGTTAGTTTGCAGTGTAGAACATATGCTTCACAACAGGGAAACCCCGTGTCATCACATCCGCACACTCAAGATGAAACTACCTGAACTAAGGAGGAGCCGTGAGAATATCGACTTGAATCATACACAGAGTCGTGGGCTTATCATTTTTCACCAAAATTACTGCTACAAATGTGAACCTTTAAATGAATAATTTACGCAAAACTGGGCCCATATCGTTACAAGTTCGTTATAGCGTTCTTCTTGGGGCACAACAAAAATAGAAGTTTGGAATAATGTTCAGGCTGCTCTCTTCCATCCCTTACAAAAATTAACCATGGTTTTATTGTAGTAAAAGTGTAGTAACCTTGGTTTTTTGCGTATTGATTACTATTTGTATAACCAGTTTTACTACAAATACAGTTAGTATAGTAAACCCATGGTTAATTTGTGGTTACCATGGTTTAACTATAGTAACCATGGTTTTGTGGTTTTATTTGTTGTACAACCATGGTTAATTTTCGTAAGGGATACTATGAAAGTGGATGGGAATGTGGCTGTGATGCAATAAGTACAAAAAAACCCACTTTGACTTCGAGTTGTGCATGTAACTTTGATTTGGTAGTAATTGTATGGAAAAGGGTTTAAGTGCACTGCTATAAATTTCCAATTTTTTGCTACATGAAAAAGCCTAATAATGACAATTTTTTATTTGAATGAAACTATCCTTTGATCATTTATAGCCTATGAAATCTCATACAAAAAGGCTTTCAGTCTTTGTATCCCACCCATAGTTGTCACAGACAGACATAGATAGATAGACAGACAGACAGACAGACAGACAGACAGACAGACAGATAGATAGATAGATAGATAGATAGATAGAGTACTGGGCTAAATTTATGTAGGCCTATCAAAAATGTTAACACATGAAAGGTTATGTTAAACAGACAGGAAAACTGGGAGGGGTTTCTTCAGTTTTAGCTGCATGGTTTGAGCATCATGCCACTAGATGGCCGTGTCTTTCTGCTTTTTGAGAACAAACCTCAAACCCTGACAATTTATATCCCAAGAAACTATTTGCTTTACCATTAGACAACCTCCAAAAGCGACACCAAACGGATCCTTACGGATTCTTAACACCAAGGGGTTTTGGATAACTCCGAAAAGAGGACTTTGAAACCATGCAGTGAACTTCGAAAATTAATTTATAAAATCGGGACATACTTCTGTGTCATACATTTGGAAAACAACTCTTTTTCACTTTGGACGTTTTGTTCGAAGCGCGCATTAACACCAACGATGGACCAAATATTTTTGACAGTATAGGCTATTTGATATTATCGACATGGGCGGGTTATTACGTAGACTATAAGGGGGAGATGTGGGATCTCGAACATTTTTGAAGTAGCCTATTGTTTAAACTTGTTGGACATTAAAATGACAACATTTTTGCACCTGAGTTAAGACAACTTCCCGCTGATTAGAATAACATCCTACAGCTATCGGTTGCCTAATGGATCTCAGTCCGATCAAAAGAAACTTTTACATCTGACTTGTCACGAGAGACTCGCGCAGTTTGCAACCTTCGGATTTTGACAGGTAATCTTATATTTTCAAATCAATAACATGATGAGTGTGAGGCTACATGTGCATTTGCATCATTACGGCAACAGTTGCTTTTGTGTTTTCGTATGCTATCTGATATGAGCCAAGTGGCAAAATAGGCTACACAAAGGCGGAACTTGAGCGTACCACAAAAAGAGGCATAGGCTATTTGCCGCTTTTTTATTTAGTAAGATGAATTTGATCATCCGGCATCTGATTAAGTTTGCCAAATATGTAAATATATCAAAACGAATGTGACATGCCACGCGTAACTGGACTGAAGCGTGCAGCTACGTTTGGAGGGTTTTTTATGTAGCTTCATATACAATTCAGCTCTACCCATATGGCATCGTGCGTTAACACATCCCTTTAAACAAACAATTTCTAGGTTTATGATACTTGTACTTTTTATTTTTCTAATTATTAATACGTAATCCAGCAGTATCTTTTTCATTTTCACTAGTGGCTTTTCATTATTAGTTCATATTCCAGTGTATCTATTAAAAGTATTGCTGATTATTCCAGTTTACTAGTTTAGTATTAGTATGTATTCCTTAGTTATTTGTGACCATTCAAATAAGCACTAGTATCTGTTTTAGTTTTACTGGCATTCACTGAATAGACAGTAGTAGCCTAGTCCTAACTTTTTAGTACATTTTTAATCTTAGGCCTACTAGTTGGATTTGTAATTAAACTGTAAAGCAGCCATTCTAACTAAAACTAAAACAACTGTAACTAGTGCAATAAGAAATGTTGCTAGTAATACCTTGGACACCCATAAATAGATAGCCTACTATATAAGTACTGTAAGTATAAGTAGAACCGGCATAGTTAGTAATGAAACTGAAAAAGATACTATTTGCTTTTGGATTACTTGCTAGCAATTAAAAACAAATACCAGTAACCTAAAAATAGATGTGATAGTAATAAAAGTTAAAACGATTAGCTGTCATACTCAACGATGTGTTTATGTCATAACAGTATGTGAGTGAATGTTTCATTATTTCACAATAAGAAATGTTGCTAGTAATACCTTGGACACCCATAAATAGATAGCCTACTATATAAGTACTGTAAGTATAAGTAGAACCGGCATAGTTAGTAATGAAACTGAAAAAGATACTATTTGCTTTTGGATTACTTGCTAGCAATTAAAAACAAATACCAGTAACCTAAAAATAGATGTGATAGTAATAAAAGTTAAAACGATTAGCTGTCATACTCAACGATGTGTTTGTCATAACAGTGTGTGAGTGAATGTTTCATTATTTCACAATGCCAGATTAGTATTTTTAAATGCTCTCTCTCTGTTTTAAGTTTAGCATGGATCTATTGAGATTTGCCAGACACTGTATGTGCATTGCATGGCTTGGCTTCTTATGGAGGAGTGCAGCAGACCAGCCCAGCCTGACAGACCACCTGCAGACAGCCAATGGACTATCCGGTAGGAAATCATCATTCAGTTGAATCACTCTGTGTTATTTCCCATGTTTTATGTGTCTGTATTGTGTGAATTTTATGTGTTACATAATCCCAGTGGAACAGTGTTTGTTGTAGAGAGAAATGTCCCACTCTGAGAAATGGCGCATGATATACACCGTTCTTATGTGTGCTGCTAGATAAGATAAAGCGCTTCCCTTGTTTAGTCCTCGTGGGTGATGATGTCAAACCAGTCTTTCACAATCCATATGCTGCACTTACAAAATTATGTGTCAGGATGCTGGAATTAAAGTAACAGTTCACCCAAAAATAAAAAATAGCTGAAAATGTACTCACGCTTAAAGGGATAGATCACCCAAAAATGAAAATTCTGTCATTAATTACTCACCCTCATGTCGTTCCAAACCCGTAAGACGTAATCAGCGTTGTTTATGTTCAGCATGCGCACGCTATGTACTGAACATAAACAGCGCTGATTACATTGATTAAGTTCTGGGGTGCTCTCCAAAATGGTGGAAGACGGTAACTCGGAGAGAAGAATTGTTGAATAAATTATGTTATTATTGTTTTCTTTGAGCACACAAAGTATTCTCGTAGCTTTATAAAATTACGGTTGAACCACTGATGTCACATGGACTTTTTTACCGATGTCCTTGCTACGTTTCTAGACCTGGGAATATTGCAGTTGCATTGCTGTCTACAGAGAGCTCTCAGATTTTATCAAAAATATCTTAATTTGTGTTCTGAAGATGAACGAAGGTCTTACGGGTTTGGAAAGACATGAGGGTGAGTAATTAATGACAGAATTTTCATTTTTGGGTGAACTAACCCTTTAAGCCATCCAAGATGTAGATGAGTTTGTTATGTCATCAGAACAGATTTGGAGACATTTAGCATTACATCACTTGCTCACGAATAAGTCCTCAGCAGTGAATGGGTGCCGTCAGAATGAGGGTCCTAACAGCTGGTAAAAGTATTGCAATTATCCAAAAGTAATCCAGTCCATCAATTAACATCTTGTGAAGCAAATATGTATGTTTTGTAATAAACATATTTTGCATTTTTATCTTGCTTTGAGATAAAATACAAGTCCTCTATCCATAACATTGTTTAACCCATTGAAAAAGTTGTCTCGTGTAAATCAGGAGATAAATATGCACTGATCAAGCAGCATTTAAAAGCCAAAACAGTTCTAAGCAAATATGTCAGTGTACAGGTGCATCTCAATAAATTAGAATGTCGTGGAAAAGTTCATTTATTTCAGTAATTCAACTCAAATTGTGAAACTCGTGTATTAAATAAATTCAATGCACACAGACTGAAGTAGTTTAAGTCTTTGGTTCTTTTAATTGTGATGATTTTGGCTCACATTTAACAAAAACCCACCAATTCACTATCTCAACAAATTAGAATACTTCATAAGACCAATAAAAAAAAAAACATTTTTTGTGCATTGAATTTATTTAATACACGAGTTTCACAATTTGAGTTGAATTACTGAAATAAATGAACTTTTCCACGACATTCTAATTTATTGAGATGCACCTGTATGTTAATGTGAAGGGAAAACAGGGAATGGACTTTTTCACTGGAGGAAGCGTTATTATGGATTATACACTGGTATTTTGGCCAGAAGCAATGGTTTAACGTTAAAATGCCTTAATGATGGATTTGTTTCTTACTAACACACATTTTCAGTCTACAAGATGTTAATTAATGGACTGGAGTGTTGTGGATTATTGAGATTTTTGTATCAGCTGTTTAGACTCTCATTCTGACGGCACCCATTCACTGCAGATGATCCTTGGTGAACAAATGATGCAATGCTAAATTTCTCCAAATCTGTTCCAATGAAGAAACACACTCATCTTGGATGGTCAGAGGGTGAGTTTGAGCAAATTTTCGTTTTTTTCTTCGAGGAGAATGAAGTATTAGATGCAGGAGGTTTTCTTTAGCAAATGCACAGAGTGACATAAATGCCTCCCAGACTGCTGGAGTATGTCACCCTCGCAAGTTTTGTTTTCCATCAAAGTGTCCTCTTGTGCTTTGACACTAATGTTCAGTTTCCACTTAACAGACTGATCCTCGTCCTGTCATGCACCTTCACCATTAGGCAGACTGTAGTCTACTCAAAACTCTTGAAAGAATAAAACATACAGTAGACCTTGTGAAAAGATTGGAAAAATAAACACTCTTATATATTAAACAGCGGCATTGGCAATCTTGCTATTTTACTCTTCCAAACTTCAACTCCTTTTTAGGCCCCGTCCACACATAGTTTAGCTGTATACGAACATTTTTTGTATCATATTGGCATTTCGTTTAGACAGATCTGGCGTTTTGGGAGAGTGAAACCATTTTTTGGGGGGAGGGGGCCGGTTGAAACCTGGGTCCCAGAGTGGATAAATCTGAAAACGACACCCTTGCAGTTTCGTGTGTAAAGCCATTTTGTGAAACGATGTCATCACCCCACGTCTCACCCCTAGTTAGACATGTCATGTAACAGCAACAACAACATGCACAAACACTGAACAAACACAGATTAATAAATGCATTGTTCCATGTTCGTTTGTATACAGCGTGCAAGGTTAATGCTTAAGGCTGATTTATACTTCTGCGTCGGACCTACGCCGTAGGCTATGCATCAGTTTTCATTTCAAATCATTATTTAAAACTACAAAAAGGAGACAACAACGGAACAGGAGATGATGGCATTCTTTCAATCTGCACAAGGACTTGTACCACGGCAGATCAACATTGTTTGTTGCGGACAACTACTGATGTATTACAGTCCAAGTCTTCTTCTCCATTTTTAGTGTATCTCTGTGGCAGAATTACAGTGCCACATACTGGTCTGGCATGTACACTTCATCATTTTGTGTCGGTTTCGTGTGTACGCAGATATTTCTTGAGATGAGGGGGAAAAAAAAAGATCGGATAGGGAAAGATCTGCCTTCGTGTGGATGTAGCCTAGTCTCATTGCTCAGAAAAGAATAAACCCTCAACATCCTATGGCTTTCTGAAAACTGTGATTTTAGCTGCCAGTCTGGTGTGCAGTGACCTTTAAAGGTGCTGTATGTAGGATTGACACCGAGTGGTTGAACTAGGTATTGCAGTCCAAATTCAAATATTGGAGAGGGTTTTTTCACCCGGCCCCTCCTCCTCAGACTTGACAGGCAGGTTGCCAGATTGACGACACCAACAGGAACAAGCACACTTGACGATGAATGAAATTAAATACGCTGTGTTTTCTGCCAACTGGCAACCCGGGGTGCCGAAACACAACTGGGTAAACTGGCAGTGGGCGGGTTTCACAAACCAAAACAGAGACCGACATTCCGGCCCGGAACGCACATTTTCAAAGGAGAATAACTGTAGCATTGTTTTTCAGATAAACAAGTATGTTAACTTAGCATGTTTCTTAAATATCTGCAAACATATTATGGTATTTTTATGCTTTAGTAGAGTCAAAAACTTACATACAGCACCTTTAAGGTCAGTTTTCAATGGTCAGTTAAGTGGGTTTTTCATGGTCTTGACTTTGGGAATCACTCAAATCTTCCAGAAGGGTTCTGTCTGTTCCTGATTCTGATAGACACTTCACAGGCGTGACCAATGGACTGGAGAGTTACTGACGTTTTCGGTTACTATTTCTGTTGTTCTAGTTATAAGTTTATAGTAAGTCACTTAAATAAATATTTAAATCAAGCTGCCTTTAAAGTGCTTTCAGAGGTCATTATCTATTTTCCCAGGCCCCCTGCCTCACTGGGGTTAATTCTAAATGGGCTTCTCTTTCGTCTTTGAGGTGGATCTCTTTGCATGCATCTGGAAAAGTCTCTAAATTGCATGTATTACATCCAGGGCTGTGTTGACTTTATCCAACTTTAGTAGAGTCAAAAACTTACATACAGCACCTTTAAGGTCAGTTTTCAATGGTCAGTTAAGTGGGTTTTTCATGGTCTTGACTTTGGGAATCACTCAAATCTTCCAGAAGGGTTCTGTCTGTTCCTGATTCTGATAGACACTTCACAGGCGTGACCAATGGACTGGAGAGTTACTGACGTTTTCGGTTACTATTTCTGTTGTTCTAGTTATAAGTTTATAGTAAGTCACTTAAATAAATATTTAAATCAAGCTGCCTTTAAAGTGCTTTCAGAGGTCATCATCTATTTTCCCAGGCCCCCTGCCTCACTGGGGTTAATTCTAAATGGGCTTCTCTTTCGTCTTTGAGGTGGATCTCTTTGCATGCATCTGGAAAAGGCTCTAAATTGCATTACATCCAGGGCTGTGTTGACTTTATCCAACTGTTTCAGAAAAGGACTTAGCATCTCAGCTCCTAGTGGAATGCCTTCCCCAGAACATTTCTCCTTTTATAGCAAATGGTGGGAATAATAAGATTTTCAGTGTTATCTCCCTTTGAAATTGAGAGCTGCAAAGTTGGACCACTGTGGAGATTGTTTTATTGGAATGCAAAATGACACATTACATTTGTTATTCCGGGTTCAATACAAGCTCAATCTGAGCATTTGAGCATAATGAAGATTACCACGAAAATAATTTCTACCCAAGACTTCTTTTCTGAAATTGAGGTGTTTTGAAGGCTTTAAAAGCAGAAATGTGAAGCATTAAAGTTTTCTGTTAAAACATCTGTATTATTTGAGCTGTAAAGCTGTTTAAATAATTTTTTCCATCACATTAGGGTTTAACTGTTGTGTTATCATGTCAACGACTTGTAAAATTTCATATAATGCAACTTTACACAGTAAAAGTTAATAAGCCATTTTCACACTAAAATCTTATTAATTCACCTATTATTTATGTCTTGTGGCTGTACTAATAAAAAACTGAGCATCTTAATCCTTTATAAATTGGCCTAATTGTTTTAAAGCAATGTATGTAATGTATGAGTCTAAATTAATTTTTGTGGTAATCAACATTGTCGATTGATCTTGATCTTGAACCCAAATTACTACATTAAATAGAAAAACAATGTTAACCATAATATTTTCAGCATTACCACACAGTTAGTAATATTTGATCCACTGCTATGTATAAGTATTCAAACCTCTAGTGTGCATTGTGTAAATTACCCGTCTGATCTTGACCTGTGTGTGACTTCATGCAGCTGGGCCATAGGACAATATTGAAGGGTCTTTTTACAGCAGCTCTGTAAATCCTCAAGGCTCTACAAAATCTGACAGTCCTCTCAGATCTTTTTAAAGGTCCCCGCCATCCAGTGAAGCAGACCAAACCTCCCTTCATTTTTTTCCTCTCCTCTCCTGATCCTAGGCCTCTCAATTTCCCTCATTCTCCTACAAAGTAATGCTCTAAGCAGAGATACAGGAAAAGAACTGGCGGAAATTGATTGTCTTAAACGAGACATTCATTGCCTCTAGGATTTTTATCACATTCTGACAGCAGCTTGCTTCAATGTGTACTGGCTGTTCAAGGGGCAGTTCACCCAAAAATAAATTTCTGTCATAATTTACGCAAGTCATGTCATTCCAAATCCATATGGCTTTCAATATAAATTAGTAAAACTCATTAAAACAAAAAATTAGCAACAAAAATGCATTTATTTAAAACTGAATGTATTCCGTCTTTGTTATCGTTGTGGCTTTATGAATTACTAGAGCTACAACTGAAAAGATCCAACTAACCTTTAGTAAAAAAACTCCAGAATTTTGATCTTACTGGCTTTCCATAGCCCAATGCACTTTGTACACTGATGTTTAATGTCATTGACTGAGCATTTGTGTTTGTTTAGAAGTTAGTAGGCTGTTATAGTGTTTGCCTCTGAGACAAAAATAGTTTCTGGATTTGCTCGAGTTTGTAAGTTTCATGACAACATGGTTTAAAAACCTGCAAGTAGCCAGGCTTTTGTCTTAAAGTTAAGCTACAGGAAATACTTTGCAACTGCACCGTCTGTGTTCCACAGAAGAGTTTGCTGATGACAGAAATGATAACAGAACTTTATGGGGAGTGAACTGAATCTGGCTGTATGTCAGATGATATCTTAAGCGAATCGGGTGGAGGGAATGCATACAGGGAATTCAAGGATAATATGTGAGGAAATTCCTGAGATCCTCTACTTTGTTGTTTCTTCTCATGCATATCTGATGCCTCTTTCTCAATTAAAATCAATGGCAAAATCGGTCTGTCTTGCTTCTTAAATTGGTAAATCTATGCCATTAACTTTACTTGAACCCGTTGCACATGTGACTGCTTGATCTGGGTGTAGTTAGCTCAGTTAAGTTAGCAAGCTAAACTGGATGTGGTGTCAACATTTGCAAACGGTTTTCTCAGAGTCATTATGTTTCTTAACATGCAGAAACCCAGTGAGTGCTAATGTGTATGTGTGATGACAAGTGCTTTTTGAAGAGTAGCGGTTGTGGCATGTTTGTTTAGTGGTTTTGCACTGACACCACTGTTTTTTACCTTCTGTGAAATGGGGACCAAAATATCTGTGCTGGTCTTATGACCTTAAAAGCTTCTTTTATCAAAATGGATCAGCCTGAAAGAACACCATTTAATCATGGACTTGTAACATAGGCATTTTTAATTGTATCCACTCTTAGCTGTAAAATGTCAGATGAGCCCAGTTTAAAAAAAGCTTGGAATGGTTGATTTCATAAGTTAATACCTGCTTCATAATCAAGTCTTTTAATTCTGTGAGACAAAGCTTAACTCCAGAACATCCACTCCTGCACACCTCCATATAACAGCAATATCTACAATACCTCAGAAGCTGTGCAGTGTCTCCATCTATAAATAGTTTAAAAGTCACTCTATGGCTCTTACGTGGATATGTTACCAACTGTATGAGCGTCACCCTCAAATTGAACTCTCCTGTTACAGTGGGCTCAAATATTGGACCCTTACAAAGGCACCGCTTTTGGCTCAGTTTTTAGCTGTACATCATCACTAAGTGATCAGTTCCTTATCCTTACTTAGTTTCCAAACTCTATAGACAAGTACAGTTGGCGTTTTTGCTGGTGAAATGACATACCCTTTTTAATGAGTCTGAATTTGATTTAAACATCACCCATCGATGATGTTCACTGAGGGGACTAAATGAAAGTCATTTTCATTTCAAGGTCATTTGGGTCTGAATAGGCCTTTTGTGCTCTTGATGAAGGCTTTTAACTTGGCTTTTTTTGTGCAGTTTATAAAAGCTACAATAAGACACTCCAGATTTTTTTTTCCAGTAATTGTATGTGTATGCAATTGTATGTTGCTTAAGAAGCAAGTTTGCCCAGAATGATTGCAATGAGTTAGTGCATATTAGCTGTGTTGCAAAACACAGTTAACTGTGTACAATTAATGTAATTTGTAGTTAACATCTTATTAAGCTAACAGTGTAATACTTCAATAGATATTTCAGTGCAGTGACTAGGTTCCAAAATTAAAAATCCCATTGATTATTTCAACGTATTTTTTTAAAATAATCGTGTTGTCATCATCCATGATTCTGCAAAGAAATATCCACCAATCAATAATCACCAATTACAGTATGTGCCGTTCAGTTTGGTTGTTCACAATCACAATATTTCATGGGATTGTAGTTCTTTCCCTCATTAAAGCCATTAAGTACACAGCCTTGTAACTTTGTCTTTTTGTTTGATTGTTTTTTTTAAATGCCAAGTTCTGTCATGAAACTCTTGATGGTGCAGGCTGATGGGTCGTTAACGCAAACTGATGATATTCACAGCGTTAAACTACTTGGCACAAGCTGATTGGTTCATGTTGCATATGCAGCCAGTGAGCTTGCTGCTTTACATTTAAATAGCTGGTTAGCATTCACTAAAGCAGCTCGCAGCTCGCTTTCAAAGTTCCTCTGAAACCCTCCACCTCCGCAGCTCCACCTGTATAGATCTGCTACAGGTTCTTTTTTATGGGTTTTGTGCAGCAGCAGTATGCCGTACACCGTGTCTACACTGGACGCGAGTGACGCGGCACAACAAAATACTATAGAACTCATTATAATCAGTGATGCTGTCTACACCATAGATATATATACATATCTATGGTCTGACTGGTACTGTACTATAATATACACAAAGAATATCGGCCGATATATCGGTATCGGCCTTTTTTTGTACTCCCTAATATCGGTATCGGTATCGGCCCCAAAAAACCCATATCGGTCGGGCTCTAATAATCAGTGATGCTCTCTACACTGGATGTGACGCAGCGCAACACGACAAATCCCTGACAGTAAACTGCTGCCTCGTTCTATTTATGACATACTGACACAAAGTTCAAATTATCTGCAACTGTCGCTTTGTCCAATATAGACAGAGTTTAGCTGTTGCAGCACAGGGTGACACATCAATTGTTGCGTCTGTTGTAGACACGGTCTTAAAGGGGTCATATGATGCGATTTCAATTTTTCCATTCTCTTT